GTTCTCTAGGATTCATTCCCAACCACCATCTGGACTCATCACACAAACCTTGAGTCTCTGTTCTCATTTTAAGGGAATAGGCGACTGTACTTTTGACAGTCAGAAACTCTGGGGTCCCCTAATGACAACGCCATCAAAGTTCAGCTCAAAGCAGTTATGGTGGTGACCACTCCTTCCTTATCAATGATTTTTCTTTGCTGATAGTGGAGGGTGCTCATTGGCAACAAAAGGGCTGAAACCCTTAACAGCACTGCTGCATTAAAGCCATCCCACTAGCCATCCCAACAGTGACCAGAACAGTACAAGATAAAGGCCCATTCATTCCTTCCAGTGAGTCTGGACCAATCTTGTCTAAAAGTATGTATAGACCTCCTTATCTAAAGCTAGAAGGCTGGAGGAAATATTATCAAATTGCAACTTTTTTGTTTTGTTTTTGTTTGGTTTTTCTGGCACAAGGTCTTGCTATGTAGTTCCGGCTGGCCTTGAACTATGTAGTCCAGGCTGGTCTCCAACTCCGGACCATCTTCCTATCTCAGCCTCCTGAGCGCTTGGAGTAGAGGCATGCAACACCATGCTCAGCCCATCAAATTGCAACTTTAAGCATATAATTTTAAAGGCAATTCAGGTGCTCCCAAAAGATCTACATAGCATGCTAGATGATCCCAAAAAAGACATTGTTTAAATAGTCACATTTCCTGCCTAGACCCTTTTTCCATATCCTCAACCCTTTATAAAACCACCAATCTCTCATCCTGACAGGGCGATTCCTCTCTTGGAAACTCAACCAGTGTCCCCTTTGACAGTGTTCTCTGGCCTGAGTCAATTTTCATCTTACTCTTATCCTTGCCTGGGTAAATTCTTTTTACCACCTTCATCATCAACTTTCCAAACGCTGTCTCACATCACATTTCTGGCTCTCTGTTCCTGTAGTCTCCAGTTCTGCTGAGTGCCCTGGACCCTAAGCAGTGGAAGGTGAGCTCAAATCTTGATTTTCTTCTCTCATGTCAGGTCAGAGGAATGCTTAGTTCCTGTATGACCACCGACAGAATTCTTCACTGCTCCCAAGAGTCAGTTCTAGATGCTCTGCTGGGTATGGCTTGAAGAACCAGTTTATCAGCTTGTGTTTGAGGAATTTGTGTTCTCAGTTGGCCTCTACTGTCTGAAAAACAACCCCAAAACCTAGTAGCTAAAAACAATGATTATTATCAAAACCCTGCTGTGGATGAACTTGGCATAGCTTGGTTCTGCTGACCTCTCTTGGTCAAAGTGAATCCTAAGACCAACTCAGACAAAAGGGGAAATGAAATAGATCCCATCATCTTGGGAATAACTTCAAAGAAGTTGTGGCTGTTTGTAATCCATTACAAGATGTGCTGAAGGGCTGGGGACGTAGCTCAGTGCCACCACGCCTGCCAGGCAAGCACAAGGTCCTGAGTTCGATTCCCAGTACCAGGAAAAAAAAAGACAAGATGTGCTGGGGCTTTGTCAAAGGGCTTGATCTTGATTCCCCACCTAGATCTGTCCAGTAACTTGTGACAGCCTGCTCTTACTTCAGGGTCTCTCTCAAGTGTGAGGCTCAGGAGGAGCATGGTAGGAGACACTGTATGCAAATAGTCTCATTGACTGGGGAGAAAGAAACAGTATTATCAAAGACTTCAATTTCAAAAATGAATTTAATGTTTTAGGGTAGGAACTAAAAGAAAGGGAGTATATAAATTTCAAACATCAAGAGTAAAATCATTTCAATAAAAAATATAATCAATTGCAAGAATGAAGCACAAAAGAGCAGAAAGAAAAACAAGATGTTAGAAATAAATCCAAATTTATTACTACTTAGGTTATACATAATGGAATAAATGTTCAAGATAAAAGAAAGGATTGTTAGAAGTTTTCAAGTATTAAGAGTTTTTTCATCGCCAGTTAAAGTATGTATAAAAAGACACATCTGGGGCCGGGGATTTAGCTCAGTGGTTCCGCTGCCTGCCTCGCAAGCGCAAGGTCCTGAGTTCAATCCCCAATGCCAAAGAAAAAAGCATCTGGGCTTAGGGGTGTAGCTTAGTAGTAGAGCACATGCTTAGCTGAGCAAGCCCTATGTATGAACCCCAGCACCAAAAACAAACAAACAAAAAGACTAAGAAAGAAAATAAAAGCAAGCTCACATGGCTATACTAATACCTAACAGAATCATCAGAATAGAAAACATATCGGAAAGTTTAGATTTTTCTTATTTTCTTGCAGTACTGGGGATTGAATCTAGGCCCTGGTGCACACTTACCAAGCACTCTACCAGTAGCAACCTCCCCAGTAGAAAGCTTAGATTTTCACAAACCTGGCTCAGAACACACCTCAGTGGCAGAGCATCCACCTACTATGCACAGCTCTGGTTTTGATCCCCAGCACCACAAAAAAACAAACAAAAGCACAAGAAAGAAAAAAAGCACAAAACCAAATATTGTGTGCCAAGACTAATGCAAGAGAAAGAATGCACAAAGAAACCATTCTCAAATGCAAAAGAGACCCAAAGTAAACTTAATTATACAACAAGGAAACATTAAAAATGTACAAGTTTTCTCTGCGCATGTGAAAATTAAAACATGCCTAGAAAAATATATTCTTTTCTTTTGGTACCAGGGATCGAACTCGGAACCTTGAGCTTGCCAGGCAGGCACCAGAACCACTGAGCTAAATCCCCAGCCTGAAAAATATATTCATAATGCTTAAGATATTGGAAAACTTAGTTATCCTATAACCATAAGAGAAACTGAGCAAATAGCTTAAAACTGTAGAAAAACGGATACCTAAGACAATAATTAACAGTTGCTCTAAATCCAGATAATTTAACCATGAAAAAGTTAAACTTATAAAACTTGAGAACACATCCCAAGACAGTATATGATACCATCACTATTATCTACATCTCAATACCATCATTATTTTGGTGATGCTGGGGATTGACCCCAGGGCTTTGTACATGCATACCCTACCTCTGAGATGCACCCATACCACATTTTGTTTTCTTCTTATTTTTTTCTTTTTTGTGGTGCTGGAGTTTGAACCCAGGGCCTCACCCATGCTAGGCAAGTATGCTACCACTGAGCTCCACCCTTAGCCTCTACTTTTTTTTATGTACAAAAAAATTACATGCTAAGGTTACTAAAACATATCTACAAAGGGCTCTTTTTTATAACACATTAGTAAACACATCAAGTTAAGTATTAAAGATAGTCCAAGCCCAGCATAGTGGGGCACATCTGTAACCCCAGCACTCTGGGAAGCTGAGGCAGAAGGATCATTAATCCAAGCCCAGGTTGGGCAACTTAGCAAGACTCTGTCTCAAAATTAAAACAGGGCTTGGGATCTAGCTCAGTGCAAAGGTTCTAGGTTCAATCCCCAGCACACACACACAAAAAGGAAATAGTGTCCGAGTTTACCTAGAAATGAAAGGTTAACATCAGAAAATCATAATAATCAGTAATGACCATATTTACTTGCAAGTCCTTTCATTCATTCACACTTTCAAGTATTTATTTTGTATTATGAGCCAGTCATAGTTCTACATATGTGAGGCTTACCAGTGAATATGACTGTGATAGAAGATGAAAGTAAAGGAACCAAAAAATCCAAGAATTCAGCCTCATAAATTCTGAAATATTGGGCAATCTTTATGCAAGACTGGGTATTTTTTTAAAAACTATACCTACTGAGTCAATAGATTGGAGAGTATATTAGAATTTTGAAGATAAAAATGCTGTTTTTACTATTTTTAATCAGTATTATGCTGGAGGTCATAATCACGTTTGTTTTCTTTTGTTTGTTTTTTTTGCAGTACCGGGGATCAAACTCAGGACCTTGGATTTACAAGGCAGGCACAGTGCCACTAAGCTAAATCCCCGGCCATAATTACTCCTATAAAGAGAAAAAAAATGACCTAACAATTGAAGTAGAAAAATAATAGTCATTATCTATGGATAATATGCTTGCCGGTGTGGAAGATCAAGAGAACGTGTATGTAAACACCCTGACCTATCATTCCCTAAATTCATATTTGTAATCTAAGCACCAACGTGACTGTGAAGATGGGACCTTTAGGGTTAGGTGAGGTCCAAAGGGTGCAGAGCTAGTGCTACAGGCCTGTGACCTTATCATAAGAGGAAGAGAAAGGGACCTGTCCTCAAGTATCATAAAAGATATTGGTACGGAGTAGTGTTTCAGTAAAAAAGAAATCTTAAGCAGCTTTGAGACTGAATGACAGGTATAGGATGGAAATATTTTTCTGGGTTCTGTTTCTTCTTTTTTTTGGTACCGGGGATTGAACTTGGGTCCTTGTGCTTGCACAGCAGATGGCAAAACCACTGAGCTAAATTGCCGGCCCTTCTTGTTTTTCTTTTTTGGTGCTGGGAATTGAACTCAGGCCCTTGCATTGCAAGGCAGGCGCAGTACCACTATATCCCTGGCCTGCTTATTTGTTTTTTTGAGACAGGATCTCGCTATGCAATGCAAGCCAGCCTTAAATTCACTAAGGACCCTAGGCTGGCCTCGAACTCATAGTGATCCTGCTGCCTCAGGCTCCTGAGTGCTGGGATGACAGGTGTGAAATACCTCACCGGGCTTGGAAATGTTTTTAAGTGCACACTAGAAATAAGGACATTAAGGGTTGTTCTGTGATTTTTCATTTGGGAATGAGGAACATGTTATTAGAAAACAGAGAGAAGAGCCAAGTGTGGTAGTACATACCTATAATCCCAGCTACTTAGGAGATTGTGGCTGGAGGCTGCAAAGTTTAGTAAGACCCTGTCTCAAAACTTAAAGCCAAGGCCTGGTAGTGCATGCCTGTAATCCCAGCATTCTATGCAGCTGAGGCTGGAAGATCAAGGCCAGCCAGGGGATCTTAGTGAGTCTGTCTCAAAATAAAGAAAGGAGGTGTAGCTTAGTGTGAATGAGCTGGGTTCAATCCTCAGTACCACAAAAAACAAGGCTGACTGCCAAGTACGGTGGCATATGCCTGTAATCACAGCACTTGGGAGGCTGAGGCAGGCAGATTGCAGTGAGTTTGAGGCCAGTCTGAACTAATAGTGAGACCCTGTCTCAAGAAACATAAACAAATAAAAAAAACAAGGTTATGGATTAAGTTCAGTGGCAGAATGCTGGCCTAGCATGAGTTAGTTAAATGCCCAGCATCACTGAAGAAGCAAGTTGGATGGGGAAGAGGCAGTCCTTAATATGTAATTTTAAAGACCTTGGCAGAATACAGTTATATTCTAGCAATTTGTGACAGGTAGAACTTGGAAGTGATTAAAATTAGAAATGTGAAGTTTGCAACTCAACTGTTAAAGGAAGAGCTTGGTTCCACCTGACTTTTAGTAAAATACATAAGGGGTGAGCTGAATCCAACAAGGAACTGTTAATCAAAAAGGAAACAGAACTGGAAATTTGGAAAATTCTCAGCCTATCCATATTGCAAAACTTGAGAAAACTTGGATGAAAGAAAAGGCTAAAACTGTGAGCTGAACAATGATTTGGTAAAAAGATCATGGTTGGGACTCACGGGTGGGATAGTGCCCATCTCAACAGAAGTGAGAAATAGGATTATACAAGCAGAGAAATTGCCTCTTAAATCTAAAACAGACCCAGAAGGCAAGAAAGGGCGGACTTATTAGATTTTATAAGAAAACAGGGATAACTGGCTGCAAATATGGACCAGCCATTAAGAACCATTTCCTTCTTGGGAAAAGGTAGGGACCATTTCCTTCTTGGCACACTCAGCACAATCAGTGGAGGTCGGGGGCACACCTGGAAGAATGTCTTTCAACAGTTCACCTGGTCCTGCATGAACTTGACCACTGGAGAATTTTTGCATGAGTAGCCACACTGGCAGCCACTAACCAACAAGGGGTAGGGCCAAATCTATTCAATTATCTCATGCAGGCATGTCCAACCTGCAGCCTGAAGGCTGCTTGTGTTGTTTTAATATTATCATACAAAATATAAAAAAATAAAGGAACTCTTGTTACTTATATACATTAACTATACTCTATGTGGCCCAAGCAAGCCAAAAGGCTGGACACCCGTGCATAGCTTTTATTAATGGTATCTTCACTAGGGGTCTAAGCACCAAGTGAGGCAGATGTGCAATAGTGACCTCACCTATGACCCCCAAGAGCTCAGACTCAGCTACATGTGAACCAGTTCAAGGGGGTCAGCAATGTAGCTCAGTGGTAGATCACTTGCCAAGTATGTGTGAGGCACTGGGGTCAATCTCCAGCACTACAAAAGTTCCACAGGGGACCTACATATCGTATTTCATACTATTAGGATGGCATCTGTGCCAGTGGAAGCCATTACAACTCATACAAAGCAGTTAAGAATAACTAACTGATGATCTTTGGTGTCACTGTCAGTATTTAAGGGTGGCAACAGAGGGGCTAAATAGTAACACTGATACCCCCACATTTATAGGCCTTCTCCCCATGGTGAACTCTTGCATGTTTGCTTAAGCGTGAGGAAACAGCAAACGCTTTCCCACATTCCTTACAGATGTAAGGTTTCTCTCCAGTATGCGTTCGCATGTGAATGTTAAGGGATGTGGAATATACAAACGCCTTCCCACAAATATTACACACAAAAGGCTTTTCTCCACTGTGAATTTTCAAATGTTTAGTACGGTGGGAAGAAGTAATAAAGGTTTTCCCACAATGGACACATTCAAAAGGCTTCTCGCCTGTGTGTGTTCTTACATGGTGAATGAGGCCTGAGGTCCTAGTGAAGGCTTTCCCACACTGGTTACACTGAAAGGGCTTCTCTCCACTGTGAATGCGCACGTGGGTAGCAAGGCCTGAGTACTGAGTGAAGGCTTTCCCACAGTCCTTACATTCGTAGGGTTTGACTCCAGTGTGTGTTCTTATATGTTCAGTAAGCTGAGTGGACCTCGAGAAGGCTTTTCCACATTCCTTACATTCATAAGGCTTCTCTCCAGTGTGAACTCGTAAGTGTTCAGTCAGGCCTGACCACCTCAGGAAGGCTTTCCCACATTCCACACATTTGTATGATTTTATTCCAGTGTGAATTCTCATGTGATCGTTAAGGTATGTGTTATTTTTAAAGCACTTTCCACACTCCTTACATTGAAAGGGCTTTTCATCACTGTGAGTTTTTATATGTGCAGACAGTTGAGAAAAAGTAGCAAAGCACTTCCCACATTCCTTACATTTTTTGTTTTTCTCTCTAGAATGAACTGTTACATATTGATTTAGGTGGGAGGAAACTGTGAATGCTTTCCAACATTCCTTGCATTCACAGAGTGTTTCTTCAGTGTGGGTTTCCATGGGATTAGTAAGGCATGGAAAATACTGAAAGCTCTTTCCAAATTCCTCCATTTTGTAGGGATTTCTTCCATTGAAAATTTGAAGATGCATAGCAAGGCTCATGGGGTGAATATATCCACTCTCATATTTCTTCCATTCATAGGGGTCTCCTTCATTTTGAGTTCTCATATCCATCTGAAGGTATGATGGATTAAAAAAGGCATTCCCACAATCCCTGCACTCAAAGGGTTTGTTTCTCATGCACGTCGTCTGGTATGCAATATTTGGAGTTAGATTGAAAATGTTTCCATACTGATCAATCTCGGAAAAGTTCTGTCCAGTAGAGGTTTTCTGGTGCAGAGTAAGGATGTCTTCTCCACACCAAATATATCCCGAAGAATATTCTTGGTTTTGTGTTCTCATGTGTGTATTAAGGAAAAACTGTTCACTGAAGACTTCTCCATATGGCTTATAGTCGTAGAGCTCCTCTCCATTGTGGCTTCTCACCTGTGGATCAAGGGATAAAAGAGGACTAAGGAATTTTTCAAATATATGAAATATGAGATTTTAAAGATAGAAACATCTCAATGATTATAATGATTTTTTTTTTTTTTTTTTTGGTACCGGGGATCGAACTCGGGTCCTTGCGCTTGCAAGGCAGGTGGCAGAACCATGGCGCTAAATCACCGGCCCTACAATTTCTTTTATAAGCACTGATTTCCCGACCTCTTTATTTCTTCCAAATTAAATGATGGATTCTTTTGCCAGAATCTTGTGTTGTAGGCTCTAATTTTAAAACAACTATATTTTCTTAAAACCCTATGTCTAGTTGTCTATTTCACATGTGGAAATATGTTTTTGTGGGAATCCTGAATCAATAATAATAATTTCACAATAGTTTTGGAGCATCTCCTATTCTTGAGATTCAGAGTATCTCCCCTGAGGCACTGCTTCCTCTTTGGTACATGCTTCTCTCACATATCACTAATGTGTGCTGATTTTCTACAAAAGAATTCCCAATCTTTTCTGAGAGTGGGACTTAAGAAGTACCCTTTGTTGGGCTGGACATGCAGCTCAGTTGTAGAGCACTTGTCCAACATGTTCGACACCCTGGGTTCCATCCCAGTACTGCAAAAAAAAGAAAGAAAAGAAAAGAAAAAAAGAGTCCTTGCTAATCTTACCATTTCCATCTCTTTGGAAGTTTCCTCCCTAAAATAATCCTCAAATTCTGATCCTTTGGTTACTGGTTGTAGCTCCAACTCTGAAGTTAAACAGAAAGAAAAATGTAAGGGTTTAGAGAAATAAATGGTATGTACAAGGAGTTAAAAGTGCTAAGGGTCATTTGTCCTTTTGTCCTTTTCAAGTTAAACATGGTAAGAAAATAAAAAGCACAGAGACCTTTGAAGATTTTGGTATGTTAAAAACTTGGCAATAGGCTAGTGGGGGTAGCTCAGTGGTAAAACCCTTGCTTAGTGTTAAGTGAGGCCAAAAGTTTCATCCTAGCACTGGGAAAAAATAAAGGCAATAATAAAGATTTGGATCAACACTGTAGATCACTTACTACAAATTGATTCTAAGAGAATTATAGTGAAAGTTATCAGAAAAAGAAAGTAAGAAAGATCTGGAAAAAGATGATACATTGAAATAATAAAGAGCAGAATAGGTAGTTTTGTAAGACCCTAAGAATGTTTCAATGGAGAGAAAGTAATATATTATGGGAAGTCAATGATGCTCTAAAATCTAAGAAAAATGGCTTCAATCTTCTGAAGCAAAATGTATCTTTAAAAACTTTCATTATACCTGCAAAACCATACTGAACTCATAAAACAGGGTTTGTCTTCACAAATACTCACGTTGAAGAACTCCATTTTCTGCTGTGTTTAATTCTTCTTGTTTTAACCAGGAGATCAGACTAGGGATGAAGAACTGGTATCCTGCACAGGTGAAAAGATGCATGAATGGAAGAGGCTCATCCAAGAGATGGCGACCCTTCCTATGTCTATGGAATTAATGAAACTATGGAACTAATATGGAACTAATGAAAGCAATGTAACTATTTCAAAGTGGGTAAATATGTAAATGGCAGAGGCTGAGGTGTAGCTCAGCAGTAGAAAGCATACTTAGCATGTGTGAGCCCTGGGTTCAATTGTCAACACCAAAAAGAAAAAAGCAAATACATATCCACATTCCTGGGCCCCCAAAAGATTGCTTATCTCTAACCCCTAAAAATCAAATGCAGGCTTCTATACACATTATAAAACACTAAGACTTAAGTAAAAAATAAAGTGTAACAAAAATTCTTGCTGTCTTGGGGAAATAACTCTTGCCGTTGATTCTCAAACCTTAGAAGTGTGTTTGATTAATCTGGAGAGCTTCTGAACAGATGACTGAGCCTCAACCCTACAGTTTCCAACTGAGTCTATCAAAGGTGGAAAAGGAAAATGTACATTCCTAACAGGCAGAGGCTCATGCTGTTGATAACATTTGAAAAGTCTTCACAGCAGCTGAGCATGGTGGCACACACCTATAATCCCAGCACTCTGGGAGGCTGAGTTAAGAGGATGGAAAGTCCCAGACTAGCTAGAAGACTAGCAAGCCCGGGCAATTTAGTGAGACTCTGACTCAAAATAAAAAATGAGTGGGGTACATCGCTCAGTGTGAAGGTCTTGGGTTCCATCCCCAGTTAGGAAAATAATAATAATAGAATTAATTAATTAAAAAAAAGAATCACCACAGCAGATTAAATGTAGTACAGCATAGACTATGGCTCTGTTACTTCCCATTGTACTCAGAACTGATACGAACAATTGTGCAACACAGTAATACACATGTATGTGTTCCATGACAGGCCACAAGTAACGTTGGTGTCTTACCTACTGAAGACAGGTTCTCGTAGTTTTCTAGCATCACCTCTCTGTACAGATTTCTCTGAGTTGGGTCCAGTAAAGTCCACTCCTCTTGGGTGAACTCCAGAGCCACATCATCAAAGGTCACGGAATCCTAAACCATTACACACATGCTGGTTTGAGCCGATTAGTGGTTCTGCCAATGTTTACTGCAGCGGTAGGAAGGGGAGCTAATGCCTACACATGGTTCTGAGTTCTCCCACAGTCCATCACCAGGATTTAATGATCCTAAGACTCCTCTCTCTCTCCATGCTCACTCACTGTTGCACCTCCTATTGCCATATCCTTTAGCATCAGTTCATAAACATGAATTCATCGCAGCACAACCAGATTAGGAGCTTCTTGTCCTATTTTTCACTACTGCAGCATACTCCTGAGCATGCTGCAGACAACTGATAAATGCCAATGGGTATATTCTGCAAGGAGAGGACACGTTCACCTGCCTTACCATCTGTCAGAGCACTTGGCACGTGGCACTCAACATGTAGTTGGAGATTAATTATTAAGGCTGGGGATGCAGCTCAGTGGTAGAGTGCTTTCCTAGAGTGGGTGAGGCTTCACCCCCCACTCCCACCCAAAGAAAGGATTAATTTAATGATTTTCAAGGTAACACCTCACCAGCATAAGGCTCCATTCTATGGGGAAATTCAACTGGGGACTCAGTCCTTGCATGAGGTTTACTTCCTTTAAGAAGCTCTGGAGACAAGTATGTCTAGAACAAAATGTGTCTAGTTGGTGGAAGATTTCCATTTTGTAGAAGGCTATCCTTTCTTATTACCTGGTAACAATCTGCCTGGTAGTCAGCCACCACACTTTCTACCTTTGTTTCGTCTTCATAAAAGCAGATTGGTTCTGTGTAGAGAAGGCCTAGTGGAAAAGAAAGAAGAGGGCATCAGAACCCAGAGTTGCCCGTAATTCCTGCATTCATGGATCAAGAAGTCATTCCAAGGCCAGGGATTTAGCTCAGTGCTTCCGCCACCTGCCCCGCAAGCACAAGGACCCGAGATCGACCCCCAGTACCAAAAAAAGAAAGAATTTTGGGGCTGGGGATTTAGCTCAGTGGTTCTGCTGCTTGCCTCATGAGTGCAAGGTCCCGAGTTCAATCCCTGGTACCAAGAAAAAGGAAAAAAAAAAGAAGTCATTCCACCTAAGTTTGTGATTCCTCTGTAATATTTTACACTCAAGAAAATTTTTTTAAAAATATACACTACTACAATAAAATGTGATGGTATGGGCCAGGGAATTAGCTCAGTGGCACCGTGCCTGCCTGGCAAACACAAGGTCCTGAGTTTGATCCCCGGTACCAGAAAATTTAAAAAAAAAAAAGTGATGGTAGTCATGTTTTGTTTGTTTGTTTTGGTGATACTAGGGATTGAACCAAGGGCCTCATGCCTGCTTGGCAACTGCTCTACCACTGAGCTATATCCTCAGCCAATTTTTTTTCTTTTTCCCAGCCTTTTTTTTTTTTTAAGCTTTATTTTGAGCTAGGGATGTGGTTCAATGGGAGAGTGTTTGCCTAGCATGTGTGAGCCCCTGGTTTGACCCCCAGTATGGCAGTTAATCAATCAAACCAATATGTAACTTTATTATTTTTTTTTAATGAATTTTATTTTGAGTCAGGATCTTGCTAAGTTCCCCAGGCTGGCCTCAAACTTGATCCTGCCTCAGCCTCCTGAGTAGCTCTGATTACAAGTGTTTCCCACCAAGCCCAGCACACAGTAGGGCATGTTTTATCTAGAGCCAGAGGAGCAGACTATAAGCCATGCTGCCCCTTGGGGACAGGGAAATAGTCACATTCTACAGGTAAGGGAAGCTAAGTCCTGAAAATGGGAGTCTATTTGCCCATGGTGATAAGAACTCAGGAAGATTATGCGGCCCCTCCTCTCAAAACACACATACCAGGGGGCTCAGCTATAAAACAACATTCTGTGTTCGAAATAAGCCCGGAGAATCTCTACTGTTCAGAGGAGACCTAAACCAGTCTCTGAAAAAGAGCACAGCGAGGACCCACCTTCCGACAAATCAGTGGCTGCCATCCTGTGGGGCTGGAATGTCCCTGAAACAGTCCCTCTGGCCACTTCTGGGCAGCTTATGACTCCAAGCAGAGAGAGGCAATCTCCATTCCTCTTCATCCAGAGTTATACGGGGTCCTGTTGGTATCAATTGTCAGTCATCAAACATCATGCGTTAGTGCTGTCTCTCTGCAGATAATATATGTGACAACTTCTAAAAATGGTCCATTTACCATCAATAGTGTTCTGGGAACCAAGCGACATTTACTGAGGATCAGAAGTTGCTCTGATGCCTTTTCAATATCAGCTCATATAATCTCCACCACCATCCTATGCAATAGGTACCGTGACCCATACTTAATACAAAGGAAACCTATACTCAGACACCACTACTGACCAGTCTAGGGTCATGCAGTTTGGAAGTGGCGAACCAGGACCCTGGTGAAGTTAATTTTGCCCTGAAAGCCTGACCTCCTATGATTGCATCACTCTACCAGAAGAATAGATATTCTGGAACTACACAGTGCAATTCAGTAGTCTTTAGTGCCATGTGTTACCGATCATTTCATATGGACATAGTATGGCTGAAGAATTTTTTGCTTAATTTTAATAAAAATTGAAATATAAAAATGAACATGATTCCATTATCTGAAAACTTTTAAATACATTTGGAATAACATGGATATGTGTGTGTGCACATACTGGAGATGAAGCCCAAGGCTTCACCCATGCTAAGCATGCACTACCACTGAGCTGCAACCCCAGCCCTTTTTAAAAAAATGTCTTCTTTTGAGACAGGATCTTACCAAGTTGCCCAGGTTGGCCTCAAACTTGCGATCCTCCTCTCTCAGCCTCCCAAGTGGTAGGATGACAGGCATGCGCCACCACATCTACCAAGTGATGGATGCTTTTGAATGTGCATACGCAGAAAGTGAAAACTTCAGATCTGCTAACTAGTAACTCAATTCAAGATCTAAGAACCTAGGGCTGGGGCTGTAGCTCAGTTTAGGGCGCTTGTCTCATATGCTCCAGGCCCTGGGTTCAATCTCCAGCAACACACACACACACACACACACACACACACACAATCCAGGACCAAGTACAGTGGCATGTACCTATAACACCAGCCTTGGTAATTTAATGAGTTCCTGTCTCGAAATGCATTTTTAAAGGGGTTGGGATATAGCTCAGTGGTAAAGTGCCTCTGGGTTTGACCCCCAGTACCACACACAAAGCAAAACAAAACAAAAGAACTTAGAACTGGGGACACAGATTAGTGATAGAGTGCATTCGTGAGGCCTTGGCTTTGATCCCTAGCACCACAACCACAACAATAATAAAAAAATCTAAGAATCAAAGAGCTTCTATGATACCCCTGAAGGAAACATTTTTTAACACCACAAGTTGTTATTGGTGAAAATCAAACATGAAGTCTAAGTGAACAGCTTTTTTGTGTGTATGTGGATCGAACTCGGGACCTTGTGCTTGTGAGGCAGGTGGCAGCACCACTGAGCTAAAATCCCCGGCCAGTGAACAGCTTTAATTACAACCATGGTCTGGGGCCAATGCAGGAATATCATACAAGTCTGAGGCCATCCCTGGCTACAGAGTAAGACCACGTCTCAAATTAAAAAAAAACCCCACCAGCCATGGTAGTGTGGGAGAGGAAGGAAGGCTCCTTTATGAGATCCTTCAGGATTGCTCTGATATGGTCAAGGACCTCATGGGGGCATATGAAATGAAAGGTTTATGGTACTCACGGGTCCTAGAGAGGAAGGCAAAGCATGTTGTGCAAGGGACTACAGGGTGAAGCAGGCTATGCCAAGAAGGTAAGCAGCCAGGAGAGTGAAGTTCCATCTGGGTCTTGGGCAGGGTACACAGCAGAAGTCAGGAAGGGTCTCTTTCTGTGCCCTTGAATGTCAACTGGCCACAGTTAGGGGATGGCAATTTAGGGCAGAGACCAGGCTTATCACACAGGTTCAGCCAGTCACTTCAACTGAGTGACACAGGCACCAGGAAAACCAGAAGTTTTAAAATCACTAATATACTGGAATACATGCACCTATAATCTGAGCTACTCAGGAGACTGAGGCAGGAGGATAGCTCGTTCAAGGCCAGACTGGGTAACACACCAGGATCTTGACTCAAAAATAAATAAATAGGAGCCAAGCATGGTAGTGCACACCTATAATCCCAGCACTCTGGAGGCTCAGACAGGAGGACCACAAGTCTAAACCCAGTCCAGATAACTGTGCAAGACTCTGTCTCAAAATGAAACATAAAAACAAGGGCTGAGGATGTAGCTCAGTATGAAGGCCTTGGGTTCAGTTCTCTAGTACAGTGGTACCAAACCTATGGCATGTGTGCTATGGCGGGCTGCTTGTTATCAATGAAAGCTCTAAAAGGTTCTCCATCCCTGCTCTAGTATAGATAGATAGATAGAGATGGAGCTCAATGGTAGAGCACTTCCTAGCATACATAAGGTTGTATATTCAATCCCTAGCATGGCAAAATAATAATAGTAAATACAACTGACAATATAATCAGGAAAGAATGAGAATGTGACACATGCAATGAGGGCAGCTAGGTGGACCCAAATAAGAGAGTCACAATCTTAAACCCCCAGGTCACTCTGAGCCTTCCTTAACAGGGAAATATTTTGCCCTTTGATTTTTCAGAAGAGTAGCCTTGGTCTGCTTGAAGGCCCTTTTTTTTTTCTTTTTTCTTGTGGTATCAGGGATCGAACTCGGGTCCTTGCGCTTTCGAGGCAGGTGGCAGAACCACTGAGCTAAATCCCCGGCCCTGAAGGCCCTTTGATCATCTCACTTGGGGCAGATACCTAGGAAGGCCAAGCTTATTTTTCTGAAGACCTGCCAAAACCATTTGCTGTTGTCACCAGAGTTGTAACTAGAGCAAAGCCCAGGGGAACAAGTAGACTGTACCGCATAATGCAAGAGCCAATACTTCACACAATAAAACAATCCAACTCTAGTAACACAAAGCAGAAAAACCTGCCCAACTGTATGGACTGCCTTGTAAAGGTATTAGTCTAAGCACGATGGAAGATAATCTTACACTGGGCCAAACTGACATCAAAGCGCTTACTAGATGTTCTAGATCTAGCAACAGCTCACCAAGCTGCAGTGAAACTTGGACTTGGTGGTGACCTACAGTTAATGGGGCTGATGTGGCAGAGCTTCCCCAGCACACTGCAGAGGGAATCTTAGAGACTACGAATATGGACTTACCATATATGATCTCTCCACACCCCCTTCATCAACATATGTTAAAGACCTAGAAGACACTCTGTTGATGACGATATTTAGGGTTAGGTAAGTGAGGGGAGCTTTCTATTTTAAGACAGGATTTCGCTGTATAGTTCAGGCTGGCCTTGAACTCAAAGTGATCCCCCCTGCCTCAGCCTCCCAAGTGCTGGGATTTAGCTCAGTGGTTCTGGCACCTGCCTCGCAAGCGCAAGGTCCCAAGTTCAATCCCCAGTACCCCCCCAAAAAAAAAAAAAGAAGTCCCTGATGGATGGGGATGAAGAAAGCCCAGAGTATCAGAGTGGGAAACATTTACCCTTTGATAAGGCAGTGGGACCTCTCAACTGTCAAGGGCAGGCAGAATATACCTTTAATCAGGATGGTCTGTCTGGAGCTGGGTGTGGTGGTGCATACCTGTAATACCTGAACTCAGGAGACTGAGGCAGGAGGGTCACAAGGTCAAGGCCAGCCTTGGCTATGGAGCAAGAACTTGTTTCAACCAACCCCCCAAAATGGTTTGTCCTGCACAGATTATCAGTGGTGGCCACATTAGTATGGAATCCCCAGGAATGAAATAAATAAGCTGCATAATACAGCAAAGATCTACAAACCCTGCAATAAGGGTCTTATATTCAATTTTGAGTGTGTGGCCCACATAATCTCTGTTATAACTATTCAACTCTTCCCTTGTAGTTTGAAATAAGCCATAAACTATATATATAAGCAGGGCCAGGGATTCAGCTCAGTGGTTTCGCCGCCTGCTGCGCAAGCACAAGGACCCGAGTTCAATCCCCAGTACCAAAAACAAACAAACAAACTATATATATATAAGCAAATGAGTGGCTGGGTATCAATAAAACTTTAGGAAAACAAATGGAGAGCCAAACTCAGCCCATGGGCTGATGTATTAACCAGTGTACTAGAATATTTCTTGGTCTGTGCAACAAAACGTCTCAAGTCTGGTAGCCAAAACCTTCCTTGATTCATACATTTTCTATACCTAGAGTCACAGAATTTTCTATACCTAGATAATTCACAAACCTAGAGGCCTTTATCAAAGGAAAACCCTGTACCATCAACATAATCTGTATTATATATTTGTCTTTGTGCTTTCTCCAAAGGAACCTCAGTCAATTATTTGAATGACTACGTATCAGCAAAAGGAAATACAACCAATAGGGTGCTGAGGTGACATTACATCCTGGGGACTCCAAACAGAATTATGAGCCAGGTATGGTGGCACACACCTGTCATCTCAGACCTCTGGGAAGCTCAGGCAGGAAGATCAAAAGTCCAAGCCCACCCTGGGCAATGTACTGACTCAACGAAACCCTGTCTCAAGCCAAAACATTTTTTTAAAGGGCTGAGGATGTAGCTCACTGTGAAGGCCTTAAATTCAATGCCTTGTACTACAAGAAAACCCCATTATGGACCACCACCAGTGAAAATAAAAGCTTACGGTCATCAGGTGTAGACTGTTTCTTAACACAATTGAGTGTATAGAGGGCCCATTTGAACCACAGACCCAAGCCAGTTATTTCCCCAGTTGCCAAACGTATAAATGGGATATAGAGCTCTCGGGAACTGGCAGCATACCTAAAATTGGCTCTCTGACCAACAAGGTGAGGGCCATTATGGTAGTAGAAGCTAATGGAAGTGCTGGGAATTCCCCAACCCCTGAGATAATCGAATATAAGTACAACATTCCTGGGGGAATTGCAAAAAGTAATGCCACTATGAAAAGAACTAAAAAGACCACGGATCGTGAGGCTTAATACATCCCCAGGCTTGTGCAGAAATCATGTGGATCTTGGAGAAAGACTGGACTATTGTAAACTTAATCCCACGTGATCACTAGAATTGTAGCTGCTGTGA